ATGCTAAATCTGTGAGTGGAACTGTATGAAGCACACAGTGCCAGCACAGTAATGCCAGTAGGAGGCATGAGGTTTTCAACATGACTGTGTAGCCCTTAGATGAGCCCTTAGATGGTATATTTGGAAGTACAAATGAATGCATTCATCCAGAAAAGAATGACTTTCCCAAGAAAGGGACTATTTCAAGAAAAGCAATTTTTGCCGATGCAAAGTGCTCAAAGTTCATCACCAAGCTCACTTGCAGCACTAYACCAGCATGTCTGTCCATGGACAGCACAGCTAAGCAACAGAAGGTGCATTTAGCTCCAAAGAGTCATATTCGAATCCACCAAAAAGCCCCACAGGAAAGGCTCACATGGTCCAAGCTACCMAGCAGCTTGGAGAGGACAATGCAAGCCTCAAAAGCAATATATTCAACCCACAGAGCCTTGCAGCAGAATGTGAAGCTGCCAAACGCAGSCTGTGACAGATGGCCAAGGGAGCAGGCTTGGAAAGCAAAGGCCTGCAAGGAAGAGGGCAGTGGCTTTAAAACTGTCCAGCAATTGGCACGGTTGTCAGTGCTAGGGGCTCTTTCTTCTGTGTTCATGTGTGCACCCATGGGCACACACGTGACGGTGTGTGTGGCTGGCACTCTGCTTCCCCAAAGGGAAAAATGAACAGTCTCCGAGCAGCTCAGCACTACCCAGCTCTGCCAAAACAGCTACACTGGGCAAGAGCACGAAGGGCTCAAATTCCTGAATTTCATAGCCAGCAGAAACCTCTTGTTTTGCAATATTTATATCAGCAAAACCCCATTTTCACCAGCTCTTTTTACTCTTTGGTGTATTTTACATACCAGTGCAAAGTATACTCTAGCCATCAACGTTGCATCCAACCTACAGGCACATTGCTGGCAAGGGATCTGAGAAATCTTCTCCAGGTGTAAACACAGAAGAGGCAGGTGTCCTCCACACTTCTCACAAGGAAAACATAGCCAGCACCTTCTAGTAGGCAGATTATTATCTAACATAATAGCTTCCTGTTTGCTGACATTAAACAATCCTCAAGAAGGGAGAAGAAATCTCTGGAATTTTTTATTRTTAAGGTGGATGGCAAATCTACAACACCAGGAATTTTTCTTTTTGGCAAGTAGAGTCCTCAATGGTTCTGGGCATCAATAATCTCACTGTGCAACAACTAGCAACTAATTAAAGCTTATATAGTTTGTCCAGGTCACAGAACAAAACGATATATATGCAATAATATGACCAAAGGCTTTTTTTTCTTTTTTTTTTTTTTAAACCTATCAGTGCTTATTGACATGGGGTTTGGTTTTGATTTTTAATGACAATTAACAAGAATCATAACTGCTACAAAACATGTCCCTCACACATAGGATGTTTACTCCTCGCTATATTATGGAGAACATTCAATGCTCAGGACACAAAACCTGTTCTCTCCCTCACAATTCATTTTAGATTAAGCCATTAGATCCCTCAAAGTTGCAGCTTAATGTAGGAACTTTAGGTCATTTCTGAAGTTACCCTTTTCCAAGAACAGTTTTAATCTTGTATGGTACTTGAATATACTTCTTATAATTATGTTTCAAGTGCTACTGCAGCTATATGTCAAATTTTACGTATGTAAGAAAATGCTATATTATTTTAATACTGATGGTAGAATAAAAATCTATTCAAAATTCACCTTTCAGAAAGCGCAATCAAATATCCAAGAACACTATTAGACTTGCTCAGCATAAAGTTTCAAACTGCTAATGGGTTTTAAATTGATGTCATAATGCTGCAATTTAAATACATGATGTGCATTAATTTTACCAGAAGTCTTTGTAGTAGGAGCAGGAGGAGTGGTATGAAAGAAGGACGAAGGTTATTTTTTTTTTTATATCTAGTTCTTTTTTTTAATCTACTTGCCCATTCTTGATGCACAAGAAGAATCACCACATGAGTTTACTCGAAGAGCAATAGGTTTCAATTAGGCAGTTGCTGTAGTATCATATCAAAGTAATACTGACTATGAAAAAAATAAAAAGAATAAGATAAAAATAGCTCCACAAAATATAAGGATGATATTTCTTAAAAATAGATTTTATRGGAACTATCACCAAAATCTAGAGATAAGAAGCAGAGAAAATAATGTACAGAAAAGACTGTACGGTCTTCTTATCCATACACTTCCTTTCCATTTTAAGGTCAAAATTCATATTCTTGGGGTCAGAAAACACCACCACTAAACAGACAGCCACAGTCTCTCCTAGATCTCAGGGGGTCCACTCAGTTGTGGGTGTTGGAAGGGGAAAAGAGGTCCCATCATGGAAGGGAACCTCTTGTACTGAAAGAGGAGGAACAACTGAATGCAAATAATCTAGGTAAAAATCATCTATTTAAGAAGTATTTTGTCAAAAAAACTAAAATGAGCCTAGACTTAACAGGCCAGTATAATATAACACAACATTTATTTATACTTCAAATATAGTATGTTTACTGTACATAAAGCAAGTTCTTCCAAAGCTGTTGCTATAGCTACAAATCAAGGAAACCATAGCAACAACACTGTATTATGCATAGTCTTAATTACAGATTGTTATGTCCCTCTTCACAGTTTATATTAAATATTCCCAAATAATCTASTTATAATAACTTTAAATATTTTCAGACTTTTTTGTAATAAAAAATTCCATAGCATTATACTGTCAAGTCAAATACACAATACACTTGAAATATATCTTTACTGCATTATTTTGAYCACACCCAGTAATACACGTCAGTGTTTTCTACTTGAGATAAATATAAATGCTTGTATCAATGTATTTCCTAAACTTTTTAAATATATTTCTCAGTCTTAACTACCAAGTAACTAGTTTTCCAACATCTCAACCTTTCTACATCCGCTTTCATTCAGCTTTACCCAAAGAGARGAAGAACGGGCATTCAGGAAAATGGGCTATTTCTCCTTTTCCTTCATAAAGTAAAGATGTGAGGGAGAATGGGAAAGGAATTRAAGTAGTTCATCTAGATGAATTATTATTGGACAGCAAGAGAGACATTAGACCCCATGGAGTGATAGCCTTCCAAGGAGATCCTGGAAAACCATGCACATGTTCAAAAGGTGTGCACCTATTTTCTCAATAAAAGTGAGAGTTATAATTCATCCATTAAAAGCCTTCTCTTCTTTCTTCTGTTCTTACAATTTTCTGATAATTCACTGCACTGTAATTTTATCACTTTTTGGATCTTTCCCTTTGGTGAGATGGTAGGTCTCCCATTTTGCAAAAGCAAGTACTTGCAAGAAATATGAGACTAGTGAAACCTTTTCACATAGGCACCACAATAAAACTTCTCTCGCAAAGGGAATAATTAAATCAGAATACTGGGCATTTTCTATTATTGAGGCATGTTACGTTTATTTGTTATCATTTTAATTAGAAAATATTAATGTAATCTGCAAATAGAAGCAGAAAAAATTAAAGTTACTAAGTTTAAGGAGTAGTTGATGACCTAAGCTAAATTGAGACAAATGTCTTGCTAATCAATACCAGCCACCCACTTTCAGGATATTCATTTCCATTTACTGTTAGAACTTCCAAGCGTGTTATCAAATTTAGGAATGAATTAAGGCTCCCGCAAGCTACATCTAACCTCTGATAAAGGCAATAAATAGAACTGGATTAGCATGCTCCTCTCCTCTCCAGTTACCAGTAAAGGTGATCAAGTGACCGTGGCAGTACTGCCTCTTTCCAGCTCCCCTCCTGGCATGGTAGCAATCGCAAAACCCAGGGACACGCAGAGCAAACTGCCCTTGCATCTGCAGYGGGTTCCTGGCCCTTTCATCCTGAATATGTTCCAGAAGAATTTTTAGCCTCTGTGAATTCAGTAGCAGASTTCCCATTCCCTGGGACTGAATGCATATCTTCACTCATCTGTCTCTTCTAAATATTAGACGAAGCACTCTCTGGTCTGCTCCTAAAAATGACTTTTTTTTCTCATTCTCATTCTCATGTTTACTTTTAGAACCTAATACACAATAAATACAAAATAAATAAATAAATTCATAAGGTTGCTACCAGAAGTAGTAAAATACTACATACATTCACTGCAGAAGTTATATTTGAATGCATTCCATATATGAATATAACAACTGTAATATTATAAAGAAAATTAATACTAATATATGGAACTTAATATTTCTCATGACTGWTAGTGTTATAAGTAATTGGCAATAACTTTTTAAAAGAGTCAATTTTTTTACATTTGCAAATTTATTTTCTGAGATTGCACTAGTGGTCAGCTGCAAACAAACGGAGGGAAAGAGAGTGGGAAGGGAATCACCATCACCCCTAAAACCCAGCAAGGTCATTAAAAACTCTTTCTGCTAAGACAATTTAAAGCAGGAATTCCCCTAAAATGGGAATACTCAAGGCAAGTATTTTGCAAGATGTTTATAGGCCAAAGCATTTCAGAATACAGACTGGATACACACACCCGGTCTTCCTTTAATTAACAAGTATTAATGTAATAACTTTATAGAAACCCAATAAATCCCTAGCTCTATGCTTTTTCTACATATACACATTCAAGTTTTTCTTTTTCCATAAGTTATTCTTTTCTTCTCTACTATACACCTAGAAACACTAATAAACTAGCTCTTACATAAGAACCCTAGGCAATATTAAAAATTTTTAGGATTTCCATCAGGAAGATACATAAAAAAGTTCCCTTTTGAATTTGAGAAATGTAAGGCCTCAAATTAAATTGAAAAATTCTATTGCTTGCATAAGCATTAATCATCACGGTAACCAAGCATTATTTTTAGGTAAGTTCATTGTTCTATCTCCTGAAGATATTACAGAAATTAAAAATATTCAGTGGTCATTTAAATGGCCGCATATTTTTAAAAGAAATATTACTTGCTTAGTTTTTCCACTCTGCATTTACTTGCAATTAGGGAGAGAAAGGTAGTTCTTCCAGTCCTTTATAGTGCACTGTTTTCCTCCAAGGGCTTACCTCTTGTGTTTTCACATTTATATATCCATAGTGGGTTCTCACAAGCTGCCTTTGACCATTAGAAAACGGGATCCACCTGACACTGGTCTGTCCAAAGCAGTTCAGGATGAGAGGGAAGCTGACTTCATTGGTTAGACGGACGATGATCAGGCAGAGGAAGGCTGCGAGGAAGCTCACARCAACAACAGACTTTCTCTGCAATCAAAACAGGAAAGGAAAGGAAAAAGAAAAATTAAGAATTGCTTTTAATACAAAATAGATAACTTGTAGARTGAGGGCAAAGCTTTAGAAAGCTTCGCTAATAATTATTTTGCATGTTAGTGATCCTGCTGCTTCTTAATTCCTGAGGATTCAATTTTTTTCTAGACCTAGTTAGAAATGAGTCAGTTTGCATAAACACAAATTGTTATTTTACTACATTTCAAAAAAATCTACCAATTTTAAATATTATTTCAATTTGCAATTAAAAAAATAATGCAAGTAGCATTACATAAAAGTCTCTATGAAAAACATCAGTGTTTGGGATATATGACAAAGAAAATATAAGTGACAATTAAATTTATGCCAAGTTTATTTCGAAGAGCAAGATCTGTAAAAAATTAATTTATTTTATGTTAATCTTAAATCATTACCATGAAACAGATGATAGGACTCTAATTTTAAATATTTGAAAATAAATGCTTGCCAAACACAACACTCTCCTCTGCCTTTTCCCAGCTCATAGCTCTACAATTAAGGCATTATTACCTTGAACGTGACCACCACTGTTGTTAATAATGTAACAGGGCCAAAGTTTGTATCTAATTAGCCTTTGTTTCCCCCTCTAACTTATCCAACTGTTTGCACTGGTTAATGCAATCATGAAAACATATCACCTTTTTCTCCGTGTATCTTAGTTTGCAGGAGAACAACTTGCAAGAAAATACATTGTTTGCCTCATTTTTAGCAGTTTCTGAAATACTGCATTCAATTACTTTTAGACAAATTGCTTGGGGACAAAGCATGCCATGCTAGATGGCATATATAGAGAATCTAGATGAAACACTCTATTTCAAAGGTCATTTTTTACCATTTTCCTCAGGGAGTGGGTCAATGATTACTTACAGGTGTTTTTAATAGTTCTTTAATTACACTCTAACTTTACCTAATTTGCCACAGCTTAATTATCCCACTGAACATAATTCTATCACTCTAAACAGTAATATAAATAGRAAATAAGTATATAGCAACTCTTAATGCTGAATGTGATGCCTGCAGCTCCTGTCTCTGGAGCCCAGCAGCTCACAGCAGCCCCCACACTCCAGGTGTGAGAAGCCTTTTGTATCCAAAGGCAGGAAGATCACAGGTGCTGCAAGAGTGATGGAGGGATGAAAAGAGAGCTCTGACTGCAACCACATGAGAAGACAATTCCATTCTTTGTAGGGAGGTTCATTTAGATTCTAAAGAAACTAAAAATGCTGAGTGGAAGAAACAATGCTGTTTATACAGCAAACATACCACAAAAGATAGAGACCAAGTTTTACTGAACACAAACCACACCGACAGCCTAGGTACAGGATACTCCTGCACCTGCACTCTGCAGATTTCTGCACATGRCAAAACAGAGCATCACAGCAGACATGCAGGAAATTTAATGGGATATTACTGTATTTCTATACACAAGAATTGACAATATTCTGCACTGTGTATTATCGTGGGTCAATCTCATAGTTYTGTTTTGATGTGTAGAAGGCTGCAGGTTTATAAGGAAAAAAAATAAGCAAAAGTCCAGGTTGTAAAACTTGTGTGGACAACATCACTAGAAGGGGAATATAGAGACCAAAAACAGCAGTATTTTGGCAATATGACTCAACGAGGAGAAATCTCAGTTAATTAATGGCRATGTAATGTAAAATCAAAACCAGCACAGCTTCAGAGGGCAGCATAACAGCCTTCAGGATTCAYGGAAACCCCTGCACTTTGCATCAACTGCATTATAACAGATTTATATTATATTGCAATAAACTGGCTGGGGAGCACTTCTGTGTCACTTCTCTTTGTACCAGATGGAGTCAGAAATGTTTAGCTATATATCAAGGCCTTGTAAGTGTTAAGAGCAGCCAASATGTGCAGCACAAGTGATAATTGCACAGCAATAAGACAGAGAATGAATGAATCACATTACTTCTTGTAACTCAGAATAAAAATATTGCAGACATTCAAAGAGAAAACTAGTCCTGCTCCGCTGAATGTGCATGCTGCAGTTCAAGTTTCCACAGTTGGATCCAGGACCCGCTGTGCTGCATGATGCTGCTATCAGATTTCCACACATCCTGCCTTCCCAGCTTGCTRAATATCCTTGCTTCACTTTGTGCAAATTTGGTCTGAACTTGAAAMTGTTGCAGTCATCTCTGCACACTTCTCCTAAGGAGCTGCTAGATCTCCCACCCCTCCAAGGAATCCAGATTGCTTAGCTAGAGCTATTGGCCTCCATAAGATGCTAGGGGCCTTTTATATTCCTTCTCTTTAAATACAAAGGAAAAGCCTGTTTATGGCCTTTTTTTTATTTCATTGTGTAACAAAACTRTTTCAAACACAAAACAGCAGGTTTTCATACATGTGTGTTGCTTTGCCATCACGAACCTATACTAGCTGAAGAACAGTTCAGTGAAAGAAAGGAGGTTTCACAGCTGAAAGGAATGAAGGCATCTGTTACAATCTCTTGGAAGAAAAACAAAAATAGCCATATGCAAACCCACTGTCTGCTTAACTTGTGCAAAGGAAGTTTGTGCTAATGATTCAACTCCACTGCAGATTATATTAAAGTCACGAAATTCAATGTTTCTTCTCTGAAGACTACTACATATTAGAGTTTTACTGGCTCCACAAATTACAGTATAAAAAAAACACTCAATGCACCTGCATATTATAATTTTCACCTTCTTGAGGATCAAGAAAAGCAGGCTGCTATATGACCAGCTGTATTCTAAAGGGCATCTTCAAAAGAATTTGCCATCCTTAAAGCTCTTTCCTCTTTCCTRTTCACCTGCTCATGAAAAATATTTGTCCATAAGTACTCTTGTAAAACTTCTTTTTCTATAGAGAAACAGATTTYGTTATATTTCCTCTGATAAAACTTAAATTCAGCATAATCACATCAATATATGACAAAAAGACAAAAACTGAACTMAGTTGAAGAGGAGCATGAGACCCTAGTTTGCCTCAAACGTCTGTATCATTATTTCTAAACATTTATAAAGCCTATTATATGTGAGAGAGAAGAAAATATTCATTAGCAACTTAGCACTTAATTGCTTTTTAATATTAATTTCTCATGGATGTGAAGAAATTTTCCTCTAACGTTTTCACTCTCCATATATAYAGAACTTGATCTGTACATGTTAAAGATGCATACATATGTATACATACATATACATAGTACATTTTGAGACGGCTAATATTTTAATTAAAATATATGTTCAGTTACTAACTTTTCTGACACATATTCACTGAAAAGCACATACTTTTAAACAGATTCATAGCTGGAAGACTTGCAAGTTATATCAGTTTTCATCAGATTTTATTCCATTTATTTCAGTACTAGACTAATCATGCTGACAGTTGCAGGAAGAAAATTACCAAACTTTTAAAAGCAAGATTCTATTTTACAGGACCTTGGGGTTTTTTATTTGTTAATGACATTAAACCAATGTAGACAGTCATTCACAGTAAAAATCAGATAATTTTACACATTTTAAATTAGAATATACCTATGGCCCTGTTGGACAGAAAACACACACTARAACCAAACAATTTATTCTCAAATCCTTTCATTCAGTCTCTGCAATAATATAATTCCAAATTCACTTTTGGTTATTTCTCAGACATCAAACTAACTCTGTCTAACATGGACTTCAAAATCAATAAGCAGTAGATAGGATTCACACCTTTATGGCTTGAATTTTATATTTACATTGTTGAAATAAGAAATGAAAMAAAGACAAGGCTGCCGTGATACTATTGCTGGTTAGAATTTCATAGAAAATTTTGTAGAAATATATCATCAACAATAATACTTTAATGGATGTATAYGTATCTCAATTTGGCAGCATGCTTCCTAATACAATTTATAATCCCTTTTGGGCTAATTATCAGTTGCCAGGATGATTCATTTGCCTTAGTTTGGCAAGAACGCAACAGCCTCAGTGTGTTTAAGTAATTTTTCTTTCATAATCTGCTAAGAAGCATGGACAAGACATGACCATTTTTTCCAGTTTAATAATGCCTGTTAGAAGAGCAACACACAAGTCTGTTTCATGTTCTCTTGCTTTGTGGGAAGGAAAGAAAAAAAGGAAATATTTTCAGCATAAGTAGAAAATTTCACAAGTTGTAAATTTTACTGAGGTATATGGTAAGCACCTTTATTATGCTTTCCAGCCCAACAGCAATTCTATGCCACTTTTAATATATAATAYGGCAGAGACTGTCAAAACACTTCACAAGCAGTGATAAATCCTCATCCTAGCAATATTAACAGTAAAAACCCATTTTACAGACACATAAACCGACGCCCAAAGCAACTTCCTTCAGATATCAAAGCAAATCAGTGGAATCCACTCCCAAACTTTTACTCTAGAACAAAGTTGCTTCTCTGGATTATCACTGCTATTATTTCTGCCTGCATCCGTGCCCATTAAGTGCCAAAACTGAATGTGACATGATGAAAGATAACCCCGGACTCCTTGGAAACCGTTAAGGTCCGTGCCTCAAGCAGTAATTAAAAATGAGCCCTTTTTTGTTCAGAAGCTGATTTTTAGGATGCTGTTTCTATTATTTACACAGATGCATGACACCACTGTGCTTGGAAGGACAAGTGAAAGGTAAAGAGCCATATGAGGATTCTGTGTCTCTTAGATGGCAGGATATGCTGTGATATTCTATTACTTTCTCAGTAGCTAACTTTATGGGTATACTGAAGAACTCAATCACATTTTTAATAACTCTGCATGTTATACTACATCTATTACATGTACTAATGCAGGCTTTCAGGCTTTTTATTCACGTAGAATACCAATTGAAAACAATAATGGTTACGCTTACTGTATTTGTTTTATTTTTGTAGATCGCTATATGTAAAAAAACAGTTTAATTTTGTCCTTTATGGTCTGGAGTTTCATCTTCAATTGCTGCTTTCAATTACAGCATGAGGTGAAATTCTGGGAGCACCTTGGCTGAACATRCCTTGCATCTTTCCCTGGTATTGGAATAAACACACCTCCTTCTTGGAAGCATTTTTATCAAACAACTCCCTTTAGCCTGAAACTTGCTAACAGGACACCTGCTTGCAGGAACACCCAGGTCCTAAAACTCTTCAGACATGCAGCAAAGCAGCTATATAGCAAAGGTCCTTTTAAAAACAGAGATATGACAAACACTATTTGCCTGAAGTTGGCAGCTTTTCTTTTTTCTCCACTGGAAGTGAAAGTTAATCTGAATATGTGCAAAGGCTCTGCAGGCGAGAGCTGGCAACATCTTCTCTCTCAACGTAAGAGAATAAAACAGGCAGGGGACTATATCAGCAGTCAGATCTGGTTCCGGTTCAGATTAAAATTAAAGCAAAGATTAATTAAGATTAAGACTAAAAGAAAATCTGAACATTTTTCCAGAGAAGAGTATCTTTGCTGAACTGAAATGTAACCAGGCAGGAAGCAGAAGAGTATGAGCAGAAAGAGCAGTGATGCAGATCCAAGACAACAAGCACATACAAAGTAGATAGAAGAGGTATTATGAAAGAAACACATGAGTTATAATCTTTCCTATGGCCTGGAAACCCATTCTTCTAAGAATTCACCCTAAATCCAAACTATGTGCAAAGTTTATGGTGCTTTGAGAAAGTATGAATAGATGATCCATTAATTTTTGCATTCTTCACCTATAGATGTTCTGGTCTTTTTTATGTCTAGTTCCATCAAAGGCTTTCAAGAGCACAGTTCTTTTCCACTTGTTGAAATCTTAGGACATAATTCAGTTTTCACCATGATACTTCCAAGTCAAATTTGACCTGAGCTCCTCCTAAACAAGAAATGAAGTGGATCAGCAGACAAATGCTCTCTATACAACRGGGGTAGCAGCAGTAGCACTTTGCAGTAAAAGCCTTCATTGCTTACACAGCGACAGGTTGCAAGTACTCACCTGTAGACTTAGGTAATTACATAACTTTGCTACAGGTACTTTTTCCAGTAGAAAGATCATAGATGTGTAGGTAAAGGTATGAAATTACATTAGGTAAAAAAMTGAAAACTTCAAGTAGCAACTTCAGAAGTATTTTGCAGTTGTTCCTCTGGCTATCACGCATAAGAAATCACTATATTTGAAAAGCCTCAATGATGCTGAGCATTTCAAAATTCAAAATGTTGCCAGATTTCAAGAATTAATTTACATCACTCTTCACCCTTTCTGTTAACTCAGTCTAAGAAGAGCGAACATATTTTTTCTAAAAATCTTCTTAGCCGTTAAATAGATACCAGGCTTTCTGGCATTTTGAGTTCTTCATATCCTACATCCCTTGTTTCTCTTTTCCTGCTCACCTGAAGCTGGATTTGGACTCTCTGCAGCAGAGTGCTGCTGGTCAAGGGCTCCCTMCTCACAACCCCAATTTTCTATGGCCACAAAGTCACAGTACCACCAAAGCAACCCTGCGTCCTGAGCAAGGCACTGCTTCTGTCAGTCTGCTGTTTCATTTTAKACTGTAACTGAGAGCTGTCCAGTGGCTTAGACCGAGTACATTAAAATGCCAATGGCAGAGAAGTATATAATTGAAATAAGGTAGTTGATTTTTCATTCTAAAAGATCAGCTACAGATATTTAATCTAAAACTGCTGTTATTGATTTGTCAAGTGTCCTCCACACCTGAGGTGAACTTGATCACTAGCTGTAGATGAATGTTATATAAATACTAACGTAGCCTCTGCATGATAAGGTAGTATTAAGGAAAATAAAAAAGGTGTCTGCAGTATATTTCTCAAATGATGCTTTTTCACCCTGGATTATTGCCCGGCTCTTCTTATCAATAGCTTGGCAAGCTTTCAGATGCACACACAGGCTGACGTGAGCTTCTCTGTAATAGAACTGCTGGTGCCAGGATTCGTGATCTTTCAACCTGGCAGTTGGTTGCTGCCACTTATTGAAGTACCACCTCATTGGAGCTATTTTTCACCTGCTGGGAAAAAGTTCAAAGGAAAAACTACCCCTATTGAGCATTAACTCTTACTCTGCCAGATATGCTCATTTGATGACCTCTATATACAYATAGGAACATACTGAAATTCACAATAAGAAACACTAAGAAGGAATGACAAGTGCTGTGAGGATTCTGCCAGACACTCCATGCTTACCAATGTTTTCATGTAAAACTCCTTTCAGGGACTTGATTCTTTCATCAGAAATTGCCCCTAAGATACAAAAAAAAACAAGCACAAAAAGCCCCACAGATACATCAAGACTGCTAGAGAATAAATTAAAAAATATAAATCAGACCAGTCTGCAGAACCCTAGGTAAAAAAAGATGTAGCTATTAAAAGCCTGTTGTTTTTCTTCATTTTTTAGAAGAAATATTAGAAATACAAATTCTTATTACAAAAATCTATTGCAAAGGGAATATGATAGCTTAAAAAAGTCAAACCAAGAGAAATTCTGATTTTGCTCCTAGCAGTAACATCCTCAACGCATTTTGGTTCACAGCAGGGGGGATGAATGTTAATCACATGCCTACATGCCTAGCAAACAGTGCGGTGTAACCTCATGCAGCACTAACTTCTACCTAAGAAAAAAAAAAATGAAACAAATAAAATTAAATATATGACAGCAGCCCAGAGGCAGAAGRAATGAGAGTAAATAAAATGCTGCAGCAATCTCGTGTTCTCAGGCTGCACATCTGTGAARAAAATGCCTTTTGCTGGAAATCTTTGCCCCTCTGCAGCTCACTTTTACCTGTGGGGGAGAGTTTATACAATGGAGCAAAAACTGCATAACCAGAAATTCACAGAAGTGGTGCATACTGTCCTACCACCAACTAGACAAGCTTGAACTTCCCACATTGAATTAGTCTGCGTAAATGTCCTGCTGTGCTGGACATGAAGCTAATGACAAAAATTAACCCTGTGCCTCAGTTGCCTTCTAAAATTCAGTTAACACTGGAAGATATCAGAGATCTTCCTCAGCTTGTTGCTTGGCCAAAGCCCTGCTCTAGGTCTTCACACCTGCTTGATCCCACACTGCTGTTTGGAAAATTGCTCCAGCTGCTCTCTGCCATGGAGCACCTGCAACTCAAAAGCACAGAAAGGGGAACAGCAGCAGGGGGTCACTGTTCAGTTTACCTCATTTGGGGCACTTTCAGATATTCAGTGCACCTTAACACAATGCAGATTAATGGCTTGTTCTAGCAGTGGGGACACACACTCACATCCACAGAGAAAAGGCATATGGGCTATTTGAGGATCTGCGAGAACAGTTGGCTCTGCTCCAAAATCAAAGATTGTACAAGTATCGAACATGAGGTTGGAGGCCTCATTCAAAACCACCATGCTTACAGAAGGTATGAATTCAGAGGACCAAGATGACTTAGGCAGAAACCAGTCTTATGTGGAGAGGTTGGTCTTCAGCCAGTCTGCAAAAGGATTTTTGTTCCTTGGGTTGGATCTCCTCATTGTGCTTGCTTGTGTWTGACCAAGAGAGTTGTCCTCAGCTGACAGGATTAAAAGCAGGCTTCAGAGACTGCTCTTTATAGAAAATAAGTAATTCTGGGTTTTGAACAGTTTTGGCAAGTCCTTTTGCCGTCCATGGACATGTGCCCCAATGTATTCTCAGATAAAACATTTTCTAGCCTACCATTTCCATAGGACTCAGTTGCTGAATATAATGTTTTAAATGTAATTTTTAAATAAGGAAAATACTCTTTCCCCTTTATACTTTATACTATCTTTATACTTCATATTATCTACTATAATATCTTTCATGCTGAGTTCTTAGGAATAAAGGCTATTGAAGAAATGCAAGYTGATAAAGAATTCTGACACCAGGATACACCAGGATACCAGCGTCACCTCTGAAGAGCTCTTCAAAACCAAGGTATAGATGCAGAAATTAAACTCTTTCTATRGCACACAATCATTCAGGACAACATTTTTTTTGAGAAAATAGGAGTATGAGAAGAACTTGATATTCACTTTATTGGTCATTTGGTTTCATGAATTTATTTTCCAGTGCAGAGGCAGCACGACATTTGTTGGGTTTATACTAGATTCATTTCTAGGGTGGGTTTGAAGTGTTTGGGGGTTTTTTTTTGGACTAAGACATGCATTACTCATTAAGGCATTAATATAGTAAACATTAACAATCTTACATCATTTTCACAGCAGCACAGCACCAAGCTTTCAATCTACGATGCAGATTAGCTGTGTTAAACACTGTATGTGTATAAATCAGAGCCAGGAAGTTTATGATCCAAGTGAAAAACAGTAGTCAGGCTCACACTTTAAATCYCATTTGTAGGAGGGGCTGCACTGAGCAAAGCAGTGTCTCTTCAGCACTGASAAGGATGGGCAAATAGCCCGTGCATTTTTTGGCAGAGGTTTCCTTTCAAGCACTGGCATGGTCTGACCCTACTTAACTCACTGCTGCTGATACAATCACAGGAGAATGTTGCAAACYGGCAGGAACTTGAACAAAATTTCTTGCCTGTTGAGTACAATTGTATTCTGACTACTTGTAAGGATCAGTTCATTATTCATCTTTGGAGAACATGAGCGAGAGGTTATCAGAGGCTGACACAAGGGAGACTCTCCAGATAGCAAAGAATATGCAGCATTGTAGTTACAGAACGTAGCGACTGCTCAGATACTGCTCAAGAAGCTGATGACTTATGCCTCAGTTGACTAGGGAGCTCCTTAAATCAGAGCACTGAAACTCAATAAAAGCACTGATCAAGGCAATCGCCTCAATTTAATTATGAGCTTTATTGATCATATCTTCACTTTATGAAAAGAAATGTTCGCASAGCGCTGGTATCACAGGAGAGCCTGGTGGGATCCTGCAGAACAGACTCCTTGAYTGTTCAAAAAATAGTGACAAGTCTGCAGTGGACAATCTTGGACTTTTCTTGGCTCARTTCTAGGAATCCAGGKKTTTTTKTGTGTGTGTGTGACCTGACTTTCAGAGGGAAGCAAAATGCAGTTTTGCATTTACAATAAAATCCATGATCTGAAACGTATTTTGTGAATACACATAGTTGAATGGAATACTTGTAGTAGAATAGCACCCAAAAGCCAAAATCAGGAGCCAATCTCTATGGTGCTGAAAGCTGTAAATTCTTTGGATTCATTATTTCTGCAGAGCATCTCAATAGGAGCTAGAGGAAATCATAAAAACTGATGGTTTTCCAAAAGAAATTCTTCCAAGCAGTGAAGTTTAATCTCTCGCTGATCTGTTACCCTGATAGAATTGGGCCAAGACAGTAACATATATATCCTACCTAAACAGACATTCTATCATCGTATCATACTCCTCTCCTGCTGGGTGAACTAACCGAATTGAACTTGACCTTCAAAGCCCTTGGAATGCAACAAAATATCTCTGTTTTCTGACATTTATGTGTGGCTTTTCTGCATGGTTGCTTTTATTGCCTAGAAAATAATGGTGAAAACTCTGTGTACAAGCCTACTATAAACACTGACAAATCACATATTTGGAARACATATTACTAGACATAGTAGATCACTCCAGAGCTAATTCTGGAGTTTAAAGATATATGTTTTTAAACCAGATATAAAAAAAMCAGAGAGTTAGTTTTTTGATACAAGAGATACATGTTACAGTTTTCTAGTAATCTGCAAGTGTAATTGATCTGGGTTATCTGGACATTTATTTTTGTTTAGAAAATCATCAYATTATACTTCATATAAAAAATGCTTTTCTGAACTAGCCCATTCACAAGGAAAACCCTATGGAAAATTGATACAGAAAACTATGAATCTAGACGTCTATGTCTAATAAAGCTTAGATACAAAATGCATTTGTCAGGAAACTATGTAAAAACTTGAGGTGCTGGATGTGCAAAGGCAAAAACAACCTTTCTTTGGCTTTTTTAAATTCAAAAGAAACTGCACCTAGCCAATGTACCATAGGTGACCCTGAACATTTTGCTGACAGTCTCCATCCATTTTGATGGAAGAAATATGATACAAATGTGCACCTAGTGCTGTTTTCCATCCTCTAGTCCATGAAATATGGAGAGCCTGTCAAGTATAGAACAAGGTTCACAAAATGATTCCAAGCTCCTCTTCTCCCTTCCCTTTTCCTTATTTGCATGCAAGACTTAAACAAAGCAATAAACATTCAAAAGGAGCTTAAGTTTGACCTGGTCGTAAGTGAAAATGACAGTGCCAAAGGTGGAGTTCTCCTTTGCATCAGGGAAGCTGTGTCTCACTGTTTCATCAGCGAGATGAAATAATTTGCCCTAGGAAGTAGGAGGCAAAGCTGAGTTTTCCTGAAGTTCAGTTTAGAACATAATCATATTCAGTTGACAAAAAAATAGCACATACTTCCACTGTACTAAAAAAGAAACATTATTTGCAGGGTTGGAGTTTCTAGAGACTAAGATATTCACAGAGCATATACAAGGAATGAAGTAATTGCACTCTTGCATTTACTCTTATGCCAGCTTCCAATATTTCCATTATTTTCCCTCAAAGGTCTTCAGTTTTAGGCAATTATTAGCAGTTATATCATATCTCTAGCTAGGTAACTCCATGCTGTTTAAATAGCAGTTTCCAAAAGAAGAACAAATCTGGACATACTACCCCAATGTCCTGTGGACATACGTGACCACCTTTCACTGTACCCACATTTCCTGTCAGGATATTTGGATTTGGAGCAGTTTGTGCAGTCATTACAAGTTACAAGAATATTTTATGATCTGCTACAATCACTACAAGTCATAAAAATTATCCCACAGTGCTCAGAAAAAAAATAGCACAAGATTTCTTCAGTGAGCCTCTATAACTTTACCCATAAATCTCAACAAAAACAATGCTGTTTATTTAATTTAAAACTGCTATACAGATTAATGAGACAAGTTGTCCACTCAGGAGGGAAGAAATGTAAGATTCATCCTAACTTATTTCATCTCTTAGTTTATTCATTGCATTCACTGTAAGGTTATATAAAGTGACATTCACAGATTACTAGAGAAGATAGAGGAACAAAATGCATACCGCTAATCAGCARATCATTTTTCATTTGCTTTTAGATGCCAAAATTAATGATGCCCTTCCTTTTTCATCATTCGTTTTTTCTTACTTTCATTAAGTCAGAAACAAAATATGTGAGCAATAATAATATTTCTTTGCAATGTCATTGCTTTTGCACACATAACCAACCCGACAGAGCTAGGAAATACAATTAATCAGCTTAAACATGAATTCTCTTGGGATTCCAATGTTTTTGAATAGAAAATCCAAATTCAGAGATTAACATTTTGAGGCATTAATTATTGATATATTTGATTTGATATTTTCAGTTGTTCAACATTCTCACAAATACCACTAGTTTCTCCACTTTATCTTGACTGAAAATTTACTATCGTACTGCGTGCCACAATATCCAATTTTATTCCTTCTGATCATTCTCAGATATCCTCTGTTCCTCTAAAAAGCCACAAAGCCAAAGCCATTTTTTCTGTACCAGAGTGAAATGCCATTCACATTGCTGTTTCCAATCTTTTTTTTTTTTTTTAAATTGAGTTACCACCATTAATTCCTTAACCCCCAGATATTTTATGCAGTTATATCCCATCTTTCTGTTTGACTCTCAAACGTTCCTGAGAGATTCTCTTTTCATAATTGTTTTTAAGCACTTTGAAGCACCTTTTTTTTCTCAGTTCTCTCAACTATTCTTATTTATAAATATTCCCTTGTCTACCTGGTTAATGTTATCCTCAATTCCCTCCAAATATTATCTTTCCTCTCAAGAGAAAATCCTTCTTGCCAACATATAAAACATCCTTGCTCTCTTTGAAAGGGTTACTCATCCTCACTCCAGACCAAAACCTTATTGAGTCCACTGCTTTTTATCTTATGATACTGTTCCTGGTTTTGCTATAATGGTCAAGGGCTCCTGTATTATGTCCCTGTTAATATATAATTCAGTAGCCTTTGCTACTGAAGTCCGTATGTTTTGATCAAATTGTGCTGTGTTAAGAAAAAATAACATACCTTTTGAGGTAGAGTCAGAGGACCATTTAGGACCATTTTATTTGAATTCCCAACCCTCTGGTGGCCTGTCAGCATACCCAGAATTTCTATTTCTTTGGCTTCCATCTGGTGAGCTCCCAGAGTATCAAGCTTTCTTTCATTGCTTGCTTTTACTTCTCTGGAATTCCTCTAATTTTTAATAGCTTTTTTGTTATTTTTTGCTAATGTGCAGAACATCCCTAGAGCCTTCTTCAGCACTAGCTTTGGTATTAACTGTAGGAGCTAAGTGACCTACAGGAAGCTTTTAAGAATAGATTTTCAGAAGATCTTATTAG